GAATCAGGTGTTTTGTTTGTGTGTTATGTTTCGATGGCACTTCCTTTCGTTTTTAAATAAATGAAATGGTCAGTACAGTGCTGCAAAAATGCCTTGTTATTCTGAAACTTTAAAAATGTTATTTTGTTTATGTCTTGAATTTACTCATGAAACGAATCCGTTAGAGGAAATGAAGGTTTAATTTTAATGGAGATGTAATTTTTTGGTTCATTTCATTTTCGAAAGTAAAGGGTAGCTGTCTGTGGTTCTGTACATTATTCCCGATATACAATAAGTTTAGTTTTAAGAATTTGTTCTATCCGTATGGGTAATGAAAACGTGCCTTGGTGTAAAGAGATAATGTTAAGTCTGTTATGTTGACAAACAAACAAAGTGACATGTATCAGCTAGATGTGATATGTACCGAAAATAAGAAATGTATTGTTTGTGTTTGTATGAGAAGTAATGGTTTTCATATATCTGTTTTTTTATAATTATATATTTTCAGGAAAAAAATGTCTGATAAAAAATAAAGACACAACTCATAAAAACATTTTATTGAAAACACTTCATAAAAATCATATTGCACAGTATTAAATCACAATCTGGCGAACAAAACTAGGATTTGACACAGATAACATGATAAAATGACTTACAAAAGAAGGGCAAATACCCAAAAGAGACATAGAAACGATCTAAGGTCAATCATGAAAGACAATGGCGGACACCCTGGAGTGCTTGTACACAACACGGAACACATTACTTATCACTGCAGGGTGTAAATCATTATGAATTTGAGGTAGGTATCGAAGCACATGGATCACGGCTTTTGAATCACGTGAAAAGAGCACTGGGAGCAAGTCTTGGAGATGATGATAGCCAAACGGAGGACTTTGAAGACGTTTTCCGTTCAGCGTCGAAGGTAGCGCTGGACCATTACAGTTTATACCTGGGTTGAGCTTTAGAGGTATTGTCTTCTTATCTTTTGATATGTTTAATAGCAATACGAATGGTAAATATACTTGTTACATATAAAATCCAAGTAAATTTCCGCTCGTTAACAATCGGTTTCGAAGACATGGACGAAACAGATGACGCGATATCGGTTTGATGCTGTTAAAGAGCTGAGGATTTCAACCTTTTGGCTTCCGTGAAGACTCTTAAAAGGAATTCGCCGGTCATCTCTGGCTCGAACGTGGAAGGAACGATGACGTAATATCCAGCAGGGAAGCGGAACCTCGTAGTTACTTCGCGGCAGTTAAGGAAGAAGGGGACTTTGGCGTAACTTGCGTTGTACTTGAAAAATTCGGTGTCTAGTTTGACCCCTGGTTCCATTTCCGGAGGAAGCTGTGAACACCATTTGTTACTGTGATTAGTTTAACAAAACATATTTACTTACATTTTTTTTTCATGTCATCCCATTACTTTCAACTTTTGAGCTCTAAAAGGTATTGTTAGTTTAAACATGTCGGCGCCTGTGTGTAAGAAAACTGCCGTTGTACTTACCTTATAAATAGTGTATCCAATAGGCTGGTAGTCGGCCCCATACCTCTTGAGCTGCCTCACGTTCTTCTGCATGAGTGAGACGACCATCGTACACAGGTCGTCGTCATCATCTTCATCGGGGTCTTCGAGCTTGACCGTGTATTGAGGATTAGACGCGAACGTTTCTGAAAAAAAGAGAAATGAGGCTTTTTTAAAGATTACGAACTTCTATATTCATAATTACACAGGGATTGGCTCACTGAATCGAGAGGCGAAAGTACGGACATTTTCAGGGATTTATTAAAAATGTGTCATCCACTCTACTCTTACTTTAGTCTCCTTAGATTGCAAACTTAACATTTATAACTCATCCTAAAAGCACCCCCCCCCCCTTCGCCCTCTTAACATCATCCCCAATGTCTCTGTCAGCATCGCCCCATCACTCACGAATGAAGTTCCTGCAGCCGCCGGCCGTGTGATGCGACACCCACGCCCCCTCGAACATGAGCCTTTGCCACCGCATCTTCACATTCTGCTGCTTCCTCTGGCATCCCTCTTCGTCCTCGTCGCTGCTACTGTCACTGTCGCTGTCGTTGTCGTACTCGAAGACCTCCGGAGTCACGTCGCAGATCTCCAGGGTTGTGAAGTTGTCCGCGAAATCCTGCAGAAGGAAATGAAAGAGTGGAATCTCGATTTGAGTCTTGCTTCCCTTCTTTTGAGGTCGATCCCATTTAGATAGACACGTTTGCTAGTTTGTTTGTTTTTTGCAATGGTATTCATTTACATACTTTACACAGATATACCTTCACTACCCACCTGAATTGACATCCAGAACTCGCCATCGTCGTCGAAGGTGAGCCCCAGCCTCTTCTTCTCCTCGAGAGAGATCGTGGCCCACTCGGGGGACTTGTCGGACCACGCCCCCGTCCACTCGGTCTCGTTCCCCCAGGGGTTGTGCAGCCGGACTAGTTCCGCTTTGCCCTTTTGGGGGGGGAAGGGAGGGAATGCAGAAGGAAGGGGGAGAGAAGAGGAGAGAGGTTAGTTTGGTTTGAGAGGTGGAGGCGGTGAAAATGGTAATGGGGGGGGATGGCTGTGGTGCTACTTCAGTGCTAGATAGTTTCAAATAACAGTATGGAGAGGGGCGTTGTGAAGTACGTGGGTGATGGTCGTAATGATGGTTATGGTGACGACAGTGATAACGATGTCAATGACGGCGACGACGACAAAAATGATGATGAGAGTAATGATGTTGGCAATCCTGATAAAAAAGAACAAGGATTATAATTATAATAATGATGATGATGATAATGATAACGATGACGATGATGAAACACCACCAACAATAATAATAATAATAAAATTACCTGTAACATTTCTCCTAGAGAATTATGTGATATCAATTGCACAAGGCTCGGTTATCGAGACTTAAAAATATATTTTGGTAGTCTTCTTTGTTTTAGTTTGAAAATCGGTTTAATTAAATTCATTTAGTGTTCCAATTCGGGCAGTTCAAGAGCTGGATGTGGTTTTATCAGCTCACTAATCTAACTGTTATGGATGTGAGAATTACAATGCAGTATGTAAGCTTATTAAGATTAATATGGGAAGGGAAGTTAATACATAAAACTACTACGTAATCCAATATACTCGGGACAATACATTATGGTATGAAGTATGAATATGCTAACAAACAAGACAGGATCTCAACGATACAAATTACTTTGGAAAACAACAGAGAACACTAAACTTAAAACAAATAATATGGCGTCGCTTCCGTGTTATTATCACAAATTAGAACCATCGAATATTAATGCACAGATCATCATCCTCTTCGTGTGGAGGGATGTCACCTTCACATACTGACCTCAGGGAAAGCCATACTCAGGGTCCAATTGGTAAGGGAGGTGAGGGCGGTTTTAAGGCTGGACTGGTCCGTTTGCGTGGCTTTGGCGCCGGCCACGGATGCTAAACCCACTAAGGACTTGTTCACCATGGCCAAGGCGCCCTGGAGGTGAGGCATGGGCAAGGAAGGCGTAAGTTTCTGCTCCTGGAAGTTAAAGTCGGTCTCAGGGATCGTAGGATATGTACGAAGGAGCCTAAGCACTTCGGCTGCTCATCGACTGGCGTTTAGAGATTCGACCTCGGGCAATTGTATTATAAACACATCACAATAAAAAGCCTTTGGGTTTTATTGCAGTCAAAAATCGTAATATGTGGAAATCACGAATGCATCATGGGACAAAAATAGTGCTTAAGCATACACCGAAATCTAAAAGCTACACATAAAGCACGTATATAATTAGTTACAAAGAAATGCTACATTATTTTGTTCCACACTAATTGCAAAGCTACTACTCTCCACACGAATGTTATATACATGACTTTGTGGAAGCGTAGTGAGTCCAGCATTTTTACAAACGCGCATATATAAGAAAATAGAAAAAAAAACAACGCAGAGGGTAGGGTAAGGTAAGAAGCAGAATGAATGTAAGTAAGATTTTGCTGTTGACAAACATCTAAAAGAAAAAAAGGGAAATGTAAGTAGTGTCTAATATCACGATCATCATTTTACTGATGGCCTGAATATAGTCTGAAAGGAAAGACGGCTTGCTTATGAAGATTGTCAGTGTGTAAAGTTCCCTAATATGTTCTTTTTTTTCCTTGCTGTTAAAGCCTCTTGTTTGAAAATATACTTGCTAGTGATTCTATATGAAGAATACATCAACCTATCTATTGATCTATTTATTGGATGGATAAGGTCCACTACGGGAGATGAAGGATTTTACTCTACAGCGCTTTTGTCGAGGAAAAAAGGGAGGGCGTATGTTACGTTAGCAAACGATTACAGTGACCATAAATATATTATTGAATTTGATAACATACAAAGCGAACATAAAGTGAATATGTAGTTCACTAATTTTTGCTATATTCTCATGAAAGTCTGCATCTGTAAGTGTATGTACAATAAAGTATAATGTAGGCATTATGTATATATATATGTATATCTGCATGTCTATATGAATTATATAGATAAGCATATATGTATATAATGCATGTATGTATGTATTCACATACTGTATTTATGTACGTATATGAAGGTAATCAGAAAATGTCACTGTAACTTCGCTGTCAACTCGACGGGAGGAGGAATCCCAGGTACATCTTCATCATACCTGCAACTTGGGGGCAGCGGAGGCGATGTCGACCTCAGTGACCCTCGTGATAGAGTAAGCGTGGCGGACGATAAGGCCGTTGGATAGGATGCTCTCCGACTGCATCTGCGGATGGTCTGGCTGCAAGGCGAGGAGGGAGGGCGGAGTGAGTCAGAGTACTTGCGGGTGTTGTCCTGGTATTTTGATTAGCGGTTTTCTCTTTTTGTTTCCTTTTAGGTATGGATAAGTGAATTGTCTCTTTTTTATTTTTGTTTGTCTGTTTGCTCCTCTTCTCTTTCAGTCTCTGCTTCTGTCTTTTTGTTTCTCTCTTTCCCTGTCCCTGTCCCTATTCCTGTCTCTGTCTCTATCTATCTATCTATAATTCTCTCCGCGTTCTGTTATGCCCACTAATGACATAATAACGAGACAGAGATGAACATGAACCCCTATGTACTAAAATTACTTATTTTAATGAAAATGACAGTTATATGTTAACAATAATAATATATAATAATAATAATAATAATAAAATTACCTGTAACATTTCTCCTAGAGAATTATGTGATATCAATTGCACAAGGTTCGGTTATCGAGACTTAAAAATATATTTTGGTAGTCTTCTTTGTTTTAGTTTGAAAATCGGTTTAATTAAATTCATTTAGTGTTCCAATTCGGGCAGTTCAAGAGCTGGATGTGGTTTTATCAGCTCACTAATCTAACTGTTATGGATGTGAGAATTACAATGCAGTATGTAAGCTTATTAAGATTAATATGGGAAGGGAAGTTAATACAGAAAACTACTACGTAATCCAATATACTCGGGACAATACATTATGGTATGAAGTATGAATATGCTAACAAACAAGACAGGATCTCAACGATACAAATTACTTTGGAAAACAACAGAGAACACTAAACTTAAAACAAATAATATGGCGTCGCTTCCGTGTTATTATCACAAATTAGAACCACCGAATATTAATGCACAGATCATCATCCTCTTCGTGTGGAGGGATGTCACCTTCACATACTGACCTCAGGGAAAGCCATACTCAGGGTCCAATTGGTAAGGGAGGTGAGGGCGGTTTTAAGGCTGGACTGGTCCGTTTGCGTGGCTTTGGCGCCGGCAAGGGATGCTAAACCCGCTAAGGACTTGTTCACCATGGCCAAGGCGCCCTGGAGGTGAGGCATGGGCAAGGAAGGCGTAAGTTTCTGCTCCTGGAAGTTAAAGTCGGTCTCAGGGATCGTAGGATATGTACGAAGGAGCCTAAGCACTTCGGCTGCTCATCGACTGGCGTTTAGAGATTCGACCTCGGGCGATTGTATTATACACACATCACAATAAAAAGCCTTTGGGTTTTGTTGCAGTCAAAAATCGTGATATGTGGAAATCACAAATGCATCATGGGACAAAAATAGTGCTTAAGCATACACCGAAATCTAAAAGCTACACATAAAGCACGTATATATGTATTCACATACTGTATTTATGTACGTATATGAAGGTAATCAGAAAATGTCACTGTAACTTCGCTCTCAACTCGACGGGAGGAGGAATCCCAGGTACATCTTCATCATACCTGCAACTTGGGGGCAGCGGAGGCGATGTCGACCTCAGTGACCCTTGTGATGGAGTAGGCATGGCGGACGATAAGGCCGTTGGACAGGATACTCTCTGACTGCATCTGCGGATGGTCCGGCTGCAAGGCGAGGAGGGAGGGCGGAGTGAGTCAGAGTACTTGCGGGTGTTGTTTTGGTATCTTGATTAGCGGTTTTCTCGTTTTGTTTCCTTTTAGGTATGGATAAGTGTATTGTCTCTTTTTTAATTTTGTTTGTCTGTTTGCTCCTCTTCTCTTTCAGTCTCTGCTTCTGTCTTTTTGTCTCTCTTTCCCTGTCCCTGCCCCTGTCCCTTTAACTGTCTCTGTCTCTGTCTCTATCTATCTATATATCTACAATTCTCTACGTTCTGTTATGCCCAATAATAACATAATATCGAGATAGAGATAGTCATAAACCCTACCTACTAACATTACTTTAACTGAAAATGACTGGTATATGTTGATAATTAAAAATACATATAATATATACGATAATAATGAGGTGAAGATAATACCACTATCTCTACGCCCTTTCAAACAATTCTAATAATTTCCACATTATACTGAACAACCTTGTCAGAATCAAAGCCAATCCTCCTCCCTCTTCCATTCCGCCTCCGCCCCCCCCCCCCACTAGAACCCGGCGCCTCACCTCGATCGCGCAGCCCATGAGCGCGGCCCTTCGGTAGGCCTTCTTCATGACGTTGAAGAGGTTTGACGGCGGGTTCCTCAGGTCGACCATCTCCACGACGCCCCCCGTCAGGTCGACCATGCTCTCGTTGATGTTTCCTCCGCGAAGGGCCTCGTAACCACCATACAGTCTGGGGAGGTAGGGGGAGGGGGGGTTGTAGTTACCAGATTTTGATTTTTGGTTATTTGTCGGGCTGGGTATTCTGGAGTAATGGTATCGAATTTTGGATGTCCTAGTGGTAAAGGATAATGATTTATGATTTATATGTTTATTTATTAGAGGTAATGAAGACTGTGATAAAGTTACACGAATAAAATATTTTTAAAAATATATATATCTCATTCGGATCTTGCAACTTTTGGCTTCCTCCCCCCCGATGCCAAGCCAAAACAATACAACACAGACCCCGAATTCTCAAAAAAAAACCCTTCTCCTCAATACACTCATCAGTCACCTATACCAATCACCACCAATACACCAAAGTATCCACCCAAGAGAATAACACTCAGAGCACGCTTACTTCGCATAGGCCTTCTCCAGCAGCGCGCACCAGAATTCGTTGTCCGTTTTCGAGTGCATGAAGACCAGCTGGTTGTGGTAGGTGGGCAGCATGTCGTCTATGACCACCTCCTCCCAGCGGCCGTACTGCCAGAACCTGTGGGGGAAGAGAGGAGGGGGGGGGGGTGAATTATGGTCGGTCCTGAGGTGATTATAATAATGATTATTGGTGATGTGATGAGGGTTTTTTTTTGTGTGTCATTGTTCTGCTTGTTGTTGCTCTTGTCATTTTTATTTTATTTCATCTTTTATAATTGTCCTTCATTTTCATTTTCTTATTTCATCATCATCATCATCATTATCATTATCATTATCATCATTATCATCATCATCGTTATGATGTGATTACTATTTTGATCATCATTACTATCATTACTATTATTCTTATAATCAATATCATTATCACTATCATTACTTCCCTAAATTCATGAATTCAGCTTAAAACTAACAACAAATGTAATCTATAAGAAAAAGAGCATAAAAAGCTAAAGAAACAGATTGTAGTAAAGTCCACCATAAAAATACACAACGAAACAGAGAAGCTTTGTGACACTGCCATGTGTTGCCAACATTCGGTGGGTTGGCACTGGCACTTAAAAGAACTGAAAAGATCAGCCTTTGAAGACAAGATCTATGGGCAGTGTGCCTCGGGTGACTCTCGAGGTCAGAGGGTAATGGACTAGTGTTGACAACGGGGTCAGTGTTATGAGACTCACAACAGCCAAGTTCGGGTGTCTTTTCTGGCAGTCTGTGTATGGGGAATGTATAGGGAGCTTGTGTATTAGTCTGATCTTTTGTAACTCGTGAGGGATGAAGAGAAATAAGAATAATGATAATGGTGGTGATAATTATCATAATGATAATGATACTAATAAGAATAATAATGATTATAATTGGTAATATTGATAATAATAATAATAATAATAAAAAGAAGAAGAAGAAGAAGAATGATGATGGTGATAAAAATAATAATAATAATAATATCAATAATGTTAACAATATTAATAATGATAACAACAACAGCAACAACAATAATAAATATGATAATAATAATAATAATATAATAATAATAGCAATATAAGCAACAACAATAAAAATAACAACAATAATAATGATTATGATAAAACAACAACAATAATAATAATGATAATAATAGTAATTCCAAAAATAATGGCAATTCGAAAAATAATATCAATAATCATAAAAATAAAAAGAAGAGGAAGATGAAGAAAATGAAGAGTGAAAATCAAACACAGACACCTAATGAGTTTATAAAGGAGCATGTGATGAAATGCACGAGTGAAAATTCTGAAAGTCACTTAAAAGTCGAACGTAACGCTTAGAAATTACCGAATTATGTTTAATATCATTAACTGAAAGAACAGCCACCGTGTCTATACGTATTGCTAAATGACGTTACTGCATATAAATACATACGAGTTATTCAGTGATACATATCTTCAGCAACTTACCTTATGTTTGTTACGTAAATAAAATGCAGGGTACTATAAGAGTATTTTTACAGTGTAGTAATAATGTAAGTAACGTAAAATATGTACTAAATGACACACTAGTTGTGCCAAGTACTTCATTATACAAGTTTAAACAACAAAAACGTAACGTATCACATTAGCCTCGTGATATTTAAATTTGAATTTAATACCTATGCCATTATCGGTGTTTCATGAATATTGTCATGACCGTTATTTTCATTTTCATTGCTGTAAATCACTAATATATAAGGAGCTACAAGTAAAATCTCTCCTAAAGTATAAATCAATTCGTTTTGAGTAAAATCAAGTTAATTCTCTCTTAAAAATACTGCAGAAAAATAGAAAATAGAAATCAATTCGTCCACGGTAAAACCAAGTAAAATCTCTCTTAAAAACACTGCAGAAAAATAGAAAATAGAAATCAATTCGTCCACAGTAAAACCAAGTAAAATCTCTCGACAATCTTAAAAACACTGCAGAAAAATTGAGTAGAAATCAATTCGTCCACAGTAAAACCAAGTTAAATCTCTCTTAAAAACACTGCAGAAAAATAGAAAATAGAAATCAATTCGTCCACAGTAAAACCAAGTAAAATCTCTCTTAAAAACACTGCAGAAAAATAGAAAATAGAAATCAATTCGTCCACAGTAAAACCACTCACTTGAAGTGGAAGATGCCGGCGTACATGTGTGTGAATCCCTGATCCCTTGGCACAACGACGTGGAAGAGGCGAGGGTTCTGCGTCAGGTTAGACACGGCAGCCAGGAGCCAGCAGTCGCCTGTAGAAGGGAGAGAAGTGAGTGGTGAAGGAAAGAAGGAAGGGGTGGCGAGGGAGGTGGAGGAGGAAGGAAGGAGGGAGGAAAGAAGGGATGACGTTGGAGGAAGTGAAGGAATGACAGGTGGCGGTGGAGGATTTGGAGGAGGAGGAGGAGGAGGAGGAGGAGGAGGAGGAGGAGGAGGAGAAGGGGGAGGAGAATGGAAATGTAGAGGGAAAATGTGCGGGGGCGGTTCTAGGAAGGGAAGGAGGAAGAGGAGGTGGGGGCGAAGGAAGATAAGGTGGAGGGGATGAAGGAGAAGGAAGGGGGTGGAGACGGAGGATGAGGAGAGGGAGATCTAAGAAATGGAAGAGAAGGAAGGAGGAGATGGAGGAAGAGGAGAAGGAGGAGAATGTGGTGATGGTGGAGGAAGGACATTCTGTACACACATACACATAAAACAATCACAAACACACACACACACACGCGCACACACACACACACATACACACACACACACACACACACACTATACTACACTATACTACACTACACTATATATATATATATATATATACATATATATATAAATCAAACTATCAATTTGTCTATCTACAGATATATGTCTCCCCCCCTCTATGGTCATTCAGATATTACTTACCCAGTTCTCCCTGCTGTATGTCGAAACGGGTAGCTCCTTCAATGAACATATGGGGATCATTGGAAAACTCCTAAGGAAAGTAATAAAAAATCAGATGTATGCCTTTAAAATCTACAATTTTTAAGATTTGTTTCTTAGTGACTGTCTCTACTACTTCTATTGGCAATATCACCCCTACTACTACATTTATTGCTACATTAAAATATATTTTCCTGAATATAAATCAGACAAATCCATGTCAAAATATCAGTGCCAGTATTATAACTAACAAAAACGAAAAATATAATCTGCAACCATTTTTCACCTGGTTATAAATACGACAATCTCATTTCAACCATCTAAAACAATTTTTTTTTTGAAAACTTACATGCGGTCTCTTCCACTCATAATGTCTTCTCGTGACGCCTTGAAAACTGATCGAAAAATCATTGGGCGGGAATTCAGGATCTTCGTACAGTTTGCTGGCCTTCAAGCACTCATCTCGAAGCGTCCTGAACCCCTTCTTGATTGGCTTCTGGCCTTCCTTCACTATTCTTTGGGTGCTGTACTGTGGGGAGGTTGAAAGAAGGGAAGTGATCAGAAAACGGACATAGAAAGGAGGGGGTTATTGTTAGTTTTTTTTTTCTCTCTCTCTGTCCTTCAGTGGGAAGATGTTTTCTACATTTTCCAAGGTGCAATAAGAGACTACTATTATTACTGCTATTACCAATAATGATAAAGATAATAATAATAATTCTAGAGATAATAATAACAATAATAATAATAATAATAATTATGATAATAATAAAGATAATGATAATAATAAAGTTAATAATAATTATCATTATTATAATTATTATCATTATAATAATTGATAATAATAATAATAATAAAGTTAATAATGATAATAATGATAACAATGATAAAAATAATAATAACAATAATAACAACACCAAAATAACAACAACAACAACAACAATAATACTCATAATAGTAATAATAATAGTAACAATAACAGTAACAACAACAACAACGATAATAGTAATAACAATCATAATAAATTTACCAATATTAATACCATTACTAATAATAACTACTACTACTACTATAATGATAACACTATAATGATAATGGCACCGTGCTCTTGAAATGATGAGTTAGATCCTACACTCTAAATAAACAAATAAACAAACTTTGCAATTATTTTCTGAATCTAAAAGAAAAACAGAAAATCATAAATTATATTCATATACAGAAAGAAAAACTCATTTTCTACCGATTCTTTGTTTAACCTAGACAACAAAAATGAACTAAGACTTTCAGGCGCCAACTTACCTTTTACATTTTTAATAAATGTTACAAAGCATATCTCTAAAATCTATAAAATAATGGTATCCGTCTCTAAGTTTCATTAGTCCCCCACGCAAAGCAAGTTTCATTAGTCCCCCATGCTCAGACTCCGGGAGATTACCCGTTTTCTCTGGGTTTTATCGAGCCGGTTCAGTGGCGTTCAAGACGACAAACTTCTTAGCTCTACTAGACTTTTATTCATCTCACTATCTCTTCTCGCAAGTTTACACATTATTAGGTTTGTCAAGCAGAAGATTTTCCCTTCCTTGCAGTTTATAAATCGTGGTGCGCCGGCTCGGTTTATGGCGGTCCGCATCTGTGTTTTATGATCATTCGCAAGTTTTTAAAGTTGCTTTATAGGAAATGAAAAATACATATATTTTCTGTGTTCGTTTTGGAATAAGCACGGTATTCAACTGGTGAATACCGAACAGCAACGCATAAGCAAAGGTGCTGATTTTACAGATTCGATTTTCCAAGATTTGATGAAAATTGGACCCGAGGCGACAGGGCCGCATAATCTTGGTTGTTCGCCGTCGTCAGTCTTGCCCAGAAATAGTGAGTTTGACCTCCACCTGCGTGAGCGAACACTTTAGAACCCGCACGGAACTTCCCAAAATTCTAGAGCGGTTCTCCGTACATTGCGCTCTATGGTTGGGGAAGGTTGGCGTGTGGGAACGGGGGCGATTTTTTTTCTGTATCTCTCATCATGCATGGTTTTGCATCGTAGAGAGTTGATACTGATGTTACATTCCGGTCTTCCACATATATGAAAGAGAAAGAGAGAGAGAGAGAGGGA